CGGAGTCCATTGTCTGCATGATCATTTCCAAAGTTGAACCGTAGACGTGGTACATTCCCAAACGTTTCGCTTGCATCGTCAGTGAGTATTGCCATTCTTAGCACCATACAATAACTCGTCAAATATTTGAATATCCTACACTGGAATGAGTAGGCTTATTTTGGCATTAAATTTTATATAGTTTTGTCTTCAAATTTTTTTCCTATTCATGATTAACTTAAGCTTTTGATTCACCTGGTCTCATCTACCTTCTTACAGCATTCATATTTGTGACGGTGTTGTTAGGCTGCCACTTTATGCACACGGCCGTCCAAGAGAGGTCAAAACTGCAGTTTTTCATGGAGGAATAAGCCTATTGAAAGTTAAAGCTATGTGAAATTGAATGGAGATAGGGGGTCTACTCATTTCTACGCACGAAATTCATCTATCAGTCTATATAATCTCAATTAGTATAAGTAACTAAATATGAAAAAAGCTGGGTTTTGATGAATCTTAAGTAACCTTTTTGCAAAATGTATTTATAGATTTGCCTCACCGGATGCCGACAGAGGATTGCCTTCGAGTTGCGACCGTAGCTTAATCTGAATACGTTCTCGGGCCAACGTCCCGTGGCCACGTGTAATCTTACTGATTTTTATCTGTCATATGATAAACGTCATCAGAGCAGGAAACCATGCTTTACAATAATTTATTAATTCTTATTTTGTGCCTGGTAAATTATCATAAAGTTTTCCAAATAGACTTACTGCGTATACATCATCACTTTGCTATTTGAATTTTATCTCGAGATCTGTATGCTCGCCATAATTTGCAACGTTTGTGGCGTCTCATTGAAAACAGGGCTACTGAAGTTATTTTATTTTTTATTTTCACTATTTAGCATGCATAGCACTAACTGTAAATTAATTTGTACTGCTAGATATCTGTCCACCTGTAGCTTATACCTTTATTTTGTCGGCAGACCACTCTAAATTATCAGATCTGCTCTAAGTATGTTGGCGACTAAATTTATCTGCCCCAACTGCCAACTTAAATCAGGACTACATCGATTCTTATACTTTTCAGCACTTATATTTCTTGCTTAATTACGTATTTCATTCCCATCTTTCCATTTTTGCTCATTCATGCAGGCCCAATCAAAACTGGCTCACCACTTATCCAAACAGCTTCCTGGCATTTTTCCTACCTCTGCATCCGTGCCTACCGCCCAGTTGCACGCAATATTAGTCAATCTAACTGCTCGGCAGTATAGCTTGCACACTTCTGCTGCCCAGGCATATGCTACTTACTTAACTTTGGCCGGTCATTTATCCAACTCCGCAGAGGATGCTACGGATGCTGAAAATAGTACATTGGCGGGGCGCCACTTTACAGAGACAGCTTCGCCTGTTAATACAATGATAGGTGAGTCTCCTGCGTCAGATTATCAACTTATCATACATGTGCAGCCTATTGAAAAAAGTTACTTTCTATCACTACTCGAATTATCATATTTAATCAATACATATAGTATGTCTTCTGCCTATTTTACATAATAGACGTGAAAATCGATTGCTAATTTACTTAAGTCATCATCCTATTCGTGTTGCGA